ATATTTCTATTTATGTTTTTATTTAATTGTTTCAAAATTTATTTCTGCAAACTTAATCAATTTTTATTTATAACAGTACCGGATGTACACAAAAAAGAGTGAAATTCGAAGGAATGAAGCCTGTCTGGATTACAGTGGCCAAGAAATCATATTGTATCCATGCCACGAGTCAAAGGGCAATCAGTTCTGGGAATACGATCCTGATAATGTACTTCTTAGGCATGGGAGCAGTCAAAAATGTCTGGCCATCAATGCTGCAAAGACAAAACTCTCCATGCAATCCTGCGGAACTGACATCGAAAGGCAAAAATGGAAATTATGATGCTTCAATACTGCGAAAAACTGATTTTAAAAAAATATCGCGCAATTGTAAATAATATTACTTGTGTGATTTTCTTTTTTATCATAGGCTTGCTACCTAGTGTCTGACATGAATGAAGAAAAGAATCGAGACATACAATGTGCTCAATTTATTGTTAATATTATATTATTGTAGGTACCTAAGAATTTCGATGAGTGTAAATGATACATCAAAATCGGTTTGTCAATTCACCTGCTAACTATCACTTATTTACATTGCATTCAGTATTAAAAATATATTTTTTTGACAAGATACACTGCCAAAAAAACTTTCAGAAAAGATAATCACTTATCAATTAGTAAATATTAATATTTCTGTAACAATAAACAACAGGAAATAGTAAATTTAATGTGGGATGAAGATGATTACGAGAGTGAGAGTTTGAATGTGGTTAGAATGAAAGCGAGAGTAACTGTGAAAGACTGAGGATGAGGAAGGAGTTTTGTTAGGGTTTAAGAGAGCAAGAGAAAGGGTGGATGAGTAAGAAAAAGTATGTGTGACATGGCTGTGGTGGGTGAAAAGGTAAGAGTGGGAATTAGTATGTGTATGGAAGGCAGGGGGTGAAAATGAAATGTAAGTGTAAAAGTGAAGGAAAATGGATGTGTGAGGGTACATATGAGTGAAAGCTAGAGTATTAAATAGGATGTGTATATGCATATAAGAACTGCATGTGAATGAGTGAAAAAGAAGGATTGAACGGGATTGTATGAAAGTCTGAATGGGGTGCTTCATGTATGAGAGAATCAATGTGAACGAAGATGTGAGAATTGAGTAATGAATAGGGATGCCTTACAAATGAAGGAACGAAGGGTGGTGTGAGTGAATGAATCGACAAAAGATTGCAAATACGTAAGATGGTGTGAGAAAGTAAATCCTACAACTTCACTCATTCATCCGCTAACAGAATACCCCCATTATGGGGTTATGAGAGAGGTACAAATGTTTCAGTAATATTGCAGCTAATTTGTATTCTCTTGTTCTGTTTTACAGATTAGCCTGTTATGGAAAGCATACTGAAGTTTCCTTGAATATTACTGAGTGTCCCCAAATAGATCGTGTACGGTGATGTGTTCTTACTGCACTTCGTTTACCCTTGTCGTCTTCACATGGAAAATTTTTCTACATAGGTATTTAAGGTAAGCATGTGTGCCCAAATTAGAATTTTACATTAAAATAAGATGATGGATACTGGTTACCGAGGCTTACTAATATATAAGTTTTTCCTTTTGTACCATTGTAATAAGAACTTCTCTAGTGCTCAACATTATTATTTTACATTCTGTTATCAAATTGTTTACTAGGGAAACTAGAAACAATTTATTTCAAAGGAACATTATTAAAACTCTTGGGATTGCAATGCGATGGGAGAATAAAGTAGCAAAAAATCAGTAAAACATTACAGAACATTGTTGATTTACAACTTTTATTTCGTTTTATTTACTTACTACACTTAATTAATTCATTTTTTATCCGTTTTTGCAGACTATCTTATAAGCAGGAAGTTTTTTTTTATTCTACCCTGTCGTGTCATTTTTCTTGGAATATGGACATTGGCCTGCTGTTAACATCTTCATTTTGCAACATTATGCAATTAATCTTCAACGAATGATTGAGAGAGCACCTTGAAGTTAATTTGGATCCCAAATTGTCTGCAGTGGCATCACTTTTCCTGGATTTGCATTACTGTTTGCACTTGTTGACTTTGGCACATTGTAATTAATATAAGGTGAGAATACATAACATAATTAACATTAGTTTCTCATTATTAATCTGTTACCACCCTATCTGTTTCAGATCGCCGGTGGAGAAGATAAAGAANATATGTGGTAATTAGGGGTGAGTATTCCTTTTAATTTTTAAGTAAGAAACAATATTTCTAAATTTAGCTCCGAAGGAAGAGGTGACAAACTTTGTGCAAAACATTTTTGTTTGATGTATTTAGATTTACTTGGCACTTGAGTATAATTAATCAAACACTTATTTTGGCATTTCAAGAAATTCAATGTATGGGACCTTAAGTAGTCGGATTTACTTGAAACTTGGTCTTAATGCTCACTGATACAATTAAACAAACGCTTACTTTGTAACTTGCAAAAATCAAGTATTAAATGGGAAATAGGTTTGCTACGTTTGTAGGTTTTTAAAGGTTTAAAAATCGAAGTACTTTTTGTGGACGAAAATTGGCCAATTTGTTGGTGAAATATTGTAATTTGTTTATATCAACAGACATGAATAATTATTGTCATAACTTTTTTTTGATTTTTTAATAGTGTAATTAATATTTTTTTTTGTCTATTTCTGCAGATCGTTCAACAAATGAGAGAGAATGTTCAAGTTGATTGTATCGAAACAACCAACGTCTACAATGATGTCGTTCTAGGATTATATTCTTGATTTGCTGTTTTCGTCTTTACTTTGCAGCATCATGCAGTAAATTTTCAACAGATAAGTGAGACCAAGAGGAAAGTTATTTGAATTCCACTGAAAGGACAAGCTTTCTGCTAGGGTATTCTTCCTGGATTTGGTTTGCTTTTTACACCTGCAAACTTTGGAACATTGCAGTCTACTGTTCATTAAGGTGAGAATATTTGATATAATGAATATCAATTGCTCGTTATTAATCTTTTTATTTATTTTGCATGGTTTTTTATTAGAATTAATTGTTTATTTTGCATAACTAATTCATTTTGTTCGAATTAGTTTTTTATTTTGCATGTTTTTGAGTAAGAAGTGTGAATGGGGTTGAACGAGTGAATGAAGGTACGAATGGGGGTGTGAGATTGTAAATCTTGTACCCTGAAAGAACGAAGGTATTATCATGTACGAATGAGACTGACTGACGCTACGTCGCCATTTCATAATTTGCAGCTTTACTTGGTTTTGTTAGACAAAAATTGCGTTTTAATTTTCATGTATTGTTCATTAATATTGCAGCTAATTAGTTTTCTCTTGTTCTGTTTTACAGATTAGCCTGTTATTGAAAGCATATTGAAGTTTCCTTGGATATTACTGAGTGCCCCCAAATGGATCGTGTCTTCACATGGAAAATTTTTCTACATATTTAAGGTAAGTATGTGTGCCCAAATTAGAATTTTACATTAAAATTAGATGATTGATACTGGTTACTGAGGCTTACTAATGTATAAGTTTTTCCGTTTGTACCATTGTAATGAAAACTTCTCTAGTGCTCAGCATTATTGTTTTACATTCTGTTATCAAATTATTTACTAGGGGAACTAGAAACAATTCATTTCACAGGAACATTATTAAAACTCTTTGGATTGCAATGCGATGGGAGAATAAAATAGCAAAAAATCAGTAAAACAGAACATTGTTGATTTACAACTTTTATTTCGTGTTATTTACTTACTACACTTAGTTAATTTATTTTTTATCCGTTTTTACAGATTACCTTATAAGCATGAAGTTAATTTTTATTCTACCCTGTGGTGTCATTTTTCTTGGACTATGGACATTGGCCTGCCGTTAACATCTTCATTTTGCAACATTATGCAATTAATCTTGGACGAATGATTGAGAGAGGACCTTGAAGTTGATTTGGATCCCAAATTGTCTGCAGTGGCATCATTCTTCCTGGATTTGCATTACTGTTTGCACTTGTTGACTTTGGCACATTGTAATTAATTAAGGTGAGAATACATAACATAATTAACATTTGTTTCTCATTATTAATCTGTTGCCGGTGGAGAAGATAAAGAAGACCCCGTAGTTAAAATACTTTTTTATTTTGCATGTTTTTTGTAATTTGAATTAATTTTTTTTTGCATGCTGATTTTAGTTTATTTTATTTGAATTAATTTTTGATTGTAGATGTTGTTATTGTTTTTAGTTGTAGTCGTTATTACTGTACTAACACGTTTTGTAGTCGTAGTCTAACATGTCTCTTGCTTACCTCTTCGCTTAGCTTACTGCATATTCTTCCTAATTTGCTTTGCATTTACCCTACGAGTTCTACATGATTCAACGTTTCGTTATCGTGTGTGTTTCTTCTCACCCTTGTGGAATTAGGGAGGGCCTCCCCGAACGACTTCCCTTNAGGAAGTAACGCTAGAGTAGACTCGCGAAAAGTGTATAAGACACTTTTAAGATCAACTAAATAGCTAAGCCCAAGGGAAGTCGTTCGGGGAGGCCCTCCCTAATTCCACAAGGGTGAGAAGAAACACACACGATAACGAAACGTTGAATCATGTAGAACTCGTAGGGTAAATGCAAAGCAAATTAGGAAGAATATGCAGTAAGCTAAGCGAAGAGGTAAGCAAGAGACATGTTAGACTATACTACAACTACTAAACGTGTTAGGAAGTACTACTACTACTACTACTACGCTACTACTACATACAAAAAAAATAATAAAAACATCTACAATAAACAATTACTTCAAACAAAATGAAGAAAAATGGGCATGCAAAATAAAAACTAATTCAAATAAAATAAACTATAAAAAAAAAAACATGCAAAATAAAAACCTAATTTGAATAAAATGAACTTGATGAATTCTACTACGTAAGAGCATGCAAGATAGAGAATAATTTTAACTACGAGGTCATCTTTATCTTCTCCAACGTCGATCTGAAACAGATACGGTGGTAAGAGATTAATAAGGAGCAATTAAAATTAATTATATCAAGTATTCTCACCTTAATTAACTGTAGACCATAATGTTCCAAAGTTTGCAGGTGTGAAAAGCAAATCAAATCCAAGAGGACTGCCAATGCAGAAAATTTGTTATTTCAGTGGAATTCGCATAAATCTTCAGTTGTTCTCACTCATCACTTGAAAATTAACTGCATAATGTTGCAAAGTGAAGACGAGAACAGCAAATCAAGATTGTAGTTCACCAAAGGCAGCACCATTGTAGATATTGTTTTAGTACCATCAACCTGAACTTTAATTCTCTCCCATTTGTCAGACGATCTGTAGAAATGGGCAAAAAAAAGTATTAGTTATACTATCAACTAAAGATTGTAGTTCACCAAAGGCAGCACCATTGTAGATATTGTTTCAGTACCATCAACCTGAACTTTAATTCTCTCCCATTTGTCAGACGATCTGTAGAAATGGGCAAAAAAAGTATTAGTTATACTATCAACTAAAGAATGGATGTTTAAATTAAGTAAAATATGTCATATAATTAAAAACATGAACAAAAACGAAAGCAAAACAGCTAATTATAAAATGGCGAGATGTCAATATAGTCATAGATATCTAAATGTTAAAGGCTATAGAAATAACCGTAGATGTACGATGTCAATTTATACAGTGGACAATAGATAGTTAAAAGAGAACTCCATAGATACACGATAACATCAATTTATGCTGTGAACAATAGATAACAGAAGTAAAACCGTAGATGCCACAGATCGCAAATTACTATGAAAACTAAGCAACTTGAATATAATAGAAAAACAATTGCTTACCTGGAGGATTACTCTACGGTACTCGAGATTTATTCCTAAGCGTTGATAAAAAGAAGTGTCTCTTAACAATAACCACACATCGCATTGCAACCTTATATGTTACAGCGTAAATCACTGTATATATTTTCTAAAAATCGCACCTTTCACAGCCAAGGGGCAGGAACATTAAAGGGGCTCCAATTCTTCAGGTTTTGAATCCTCTTTACTTTTTGTCTCCTTCATTTAACATGTTTAAATGGCATCCTGTTGAAATAATTTAATGTGAGCTTCATTTTAAATATGTTTTAAAATATTAAGAACCATAACTAACACTAATCAAACAGTAGACTATTAAAATCAATACATAACTATCACAATTCAGAAGTGTAAAAATTTATAGTGGCAATTATTGTCAAACAAATGGAATACAAGATTTGGAAAATAATGAATCATTTCGTAAGTACAACTTAATAAAATTATTAAAGATTTCTTACCCTTACCCTTTCTACAAACAACCCATTTCCATAACCAAGCGAAACATGCATGATTGGAGACCTTGCTTCTCCACATTTCCCCTTTGATTTACCTTCGCCATGTACATTTATTATGTTTTAATATAAGCCTGTCAAAACAATTTAATGTCATGAGTTGTATGTTTACTAGATTTATTATTAATAATTACCATTGTTAGCACCCTGTGTCCTATGAATTTTTTGACCAGCTCATTACAAGCATTCTTGAAAATAAAAACATGTCTGGTTGCTAGAAGTAGTTTTTCCATTGAATCCAAGGATATCATCTCAAAGCAAGTCTATTTATAGAAAAAAAAAATAAGTCATTAAAACCCAACAGGGCAAAAGTAATAATTCTTTTAACAAAACAGAATAATTCAGATTTATTTTACATATTTTGTCTATAAAACGAAGGCAAATTTTCGTGGCGTGGTCACATCATGAAAAATCTGCAATCATCCCCTAAATCTGTTTTCAAAATTCAAAGATTCTAACAAAACCCTAATTATTCAGCCTCAAATAAACTAAGAATATACTACAATTAACATTAGATGAGTGAACGGGCAAAACGCCAAAATAGACCTATGCTGGAGCACGAGGCCAACACGCTCATTCCCATAAAAAAAAATTGAAGCAACGCTAATTGAAACCAATCAAACGCTAAATTGAAACGTATTCCACACAATCAAATGAAATTTGAATAAGTATTAGGGCTAAATACCTTCAGGTGTCGTTTCTATTTATGAACAGCAAAAATGGTGACATGCCTTCCTTTCCAAAAGCGAAGACAAAATGATGATTGATGATGATCGTAGTTCGTAGATAATGAACGAAACGAGCCGGAAGCCCATAGATGAAAACTTCTTCTATACCTATAATCCATTGATAATTGATTTCATAGATGCGTTCAATTACACTAACTCAGTTTAATTCGTAAATTAATAGAAACTGATATACCATTACAGAAAATTATCCCAATAAAACTGCAAAACTTAGTGTATTTTAACTACTTGTATCAATTTCTAAAAATTAATACAGTCTTTCGAAGCAAATTAATTAAAAATAATATTAATGTGGACACTTCGTTAACATATGAATGGCGTATTCATGGGTGTATTTAAATCACGTTTTAACACGTAATAATATATTACTGTTTCTTCTGTTTCGTCTGTTCAAATTATATAAAATATTTTATTTTGTACAAGTGTATTTGTTACATTCAATATTTTTTTTTACTATTCTTTCACCTGTTATTAATTCTACACTTAAAAATTCGCAGGTTCTTATGTTAAGGTGAAAATGGACAAGTAACAATGTATTTCCTTTTTTACAAAAGAAACAATGTGTTTTCTTTTATGAAAAAGGAAAATTGCATTGTTTCTTATCCATTTTTCACTTTAACTTGTACAATAGGTAACTAACACATTTAAACTGCGCGCCTTTATTATTTAGTATTGACTAAACCTGCCGGAGGGCGTGCAATTCAGCGCATTTCGAGTTAATCATCTATTATCCTTTGTATATCTATTATCTATGAGTTACGTTTTCGAAGCCGTGATGTGGAAGTTATACTAAAATATTAATAAACGATCTTACACGAACACTATAAAGTTTATTTTTATTAAATAAACAAACGCCCGAGAATTTGCGGATAATAGTAGACAAACTAATATCTAAATCATATCGACACTATTATGACTGTGATCTTAGACAGCCTACTTCACCCTTTGTATATCTATTATCTATGACCTAGTTCATAGAACTTAGAAATTACATTCAAATACGGCATACGGCCATAAATATAAATATAACCCTCAACTGTAGTAAAGAAATCTCATGCACTAATGTTAAACTAAAGTGAAAAATTTTTTTGCTGTAAAGAAGTGTTTTCTGCAAATTAAAATATATATATATTGTTAATTGTATATGTTATGGAGTTAAATTTAGAAAAGTTCGAGCAAGGAGCCGAAGCAATTCTTTATAAAGGTATTTACTTAGGAAAAGAAGTAATTGCAAAAGAGCGATTTGTAAAAAAATATAGACATTCGGAACTCGACAAACATTTGACACGAGAACGTATTAAAGCAGAATGTAGAGCAATTGTAAAATGTAAAACTGCTGGTATATTTACCCCAACAATTTATCTTGCTGATATGACCAGAAGGATAATTATTATGGAATATTTTGTGTATAGTACATCTGTGAAAGATTTTTTGTTAAATGTAAAACCAGACACTGACCTAGAGCCATTATCTAAGAATATTGGTTTGATTGTGGCTAAAATGCATTCCAATAATATTGTTCATGGAGATCTTACAACATCAAATATTCTTTTAGTCAATAAAAATAACAGGAAGGAGTTTACTAATTTTAGTGATTTAAAAGTTGCTTTGATTGACTTTGGTTTATCTCATACAGAAGCAAGTGCAGAAGATAAAGGAGTAGATTTGTACGTACTTGAAAGGGCCCTTCTCAGTATGCATCATAACAGTGATATAGTGTTTTCTGTCATATTTAAAGCATATAAAGACTTCTACAGAAAAGGACATCAAGAAGTTGTACAGAAATATGAAGAAATTAGGGCTAGGGGACGCAAAAGAACGATGGTTGGGTAATTAACTATTAGTTAAATTGTATTTGCATTACCTATATTTGATGTATTAAATTTTCTATGAAGATTGATATTTTATTATGCTTGAGAAGCAGTTCATACTTTAACAGAGGGAAATAAATAGTTGTTTTTAAAACGTGATCATGTTTACATTTTTTATTGAAGGCGTCAAATAGTTTAAGCCATAGATATATATTAGTAAACGTCGATTTGTCAGTGCATTCCATAGATCTGTTCTCTATGTGTATAGTGTAATTCTTAAGTAGATTCAAGAAGTTTTCATGTAGATATTTACTACAGTAGAATCATCGATCACACGCTCATCTATCCTAAAGACCTAACTATTTTTTATTACGATTACTAGATCACTAGTAATCTATAATTATGATCTACGATACTTAAGAAATGAAAATGTCAGTATGACATCATGGACAAAACAAATCTCTGTAATAAGACAAGGGTTACTATATTGGTGCATATGGAAAACTATTTATTAATTTCTATCTATGATTTCTATAAAATGTCATAATAACATCTATGACTACAATTAACTAGAATAATACATATTTTTAAGTTTAGTGTGGTTAGGTATATAAAAGAATTTAAAGTTTCATTTTCAACAAAACTTAAATATTGTTACATATGTCAAACTCTCAAAACTTATTTATTCAAAATAATTCAAATGTAATCATAATGGAAAATATTTTTCATATTGCAGATTGTTGTCGTGCATGTCTCCGAATAGAGTGCTCACTAACGCCTACAACGACGTTAGATAACGATTCTGTAAAGTTTTGCGACAAATTACACGCTTGTGTTTCTGAAGTTGTAAGTGTATTTATTTAATTTTGTAGTGTTGGATGTAGTAGTTAAATTACATTTCTTCTTAATAACCTTGAAAAATTGAAAAAAATTTAATAACAGAAGTAATTTATTAAATATTTGCTTTTGTAGGCCTGGATGAAAGAAGGACTGCCCTCTCTTATTTGTTCAACTTGCATAGAAAGATTGCGTGCAGCCTATGATTTTCGAAATGTTTGTTTACAATCAGATCAGACCTTACAGAAGTATGTAAGTCATTTGCAACATGATTTTAAGGAACCCATGCAAAATAACCAACAACCTTTAACAGTGTCAAAATTTGATCTCTCATTGCTATCACAAAATCAAGAAAATTTGCCCTGTATAGTTGAGGAGCCGCAGAATGCAGAGTATTTACATTTAAAACATTTTTTGGATAATGACGAGGACTTATCTAAATCAGATAATTTAGCTGATGCTACAACATCTAGAAGTAGCAGCCCAGAAGCAGTTAGAGTAGTCAGTAGTTTCTTGCATGAACCTCAACAGTTGCCAGAACAACAGCCACAGCAGTTACTTCATCAAACATTTCATCATCAGCAACATCAACATGCTCACCAGAGTCAGCAAACACATTTGTCACTTGAAGAACAGCAGCCACAGCATCCTCAAATTCATCTTACTCAACAGCCAATTCATAATCAATCTGATCAACAACAAATACAGCCAGCAAACCAACAACAGCAATTTGATAATGTTCTGCAACATCCACATATTTTGCACAACCAATCAATTGGTCAAATAAATCAAGACTCTGAGGTAAATGTAAACCAGGTAGATTTATTGCTTATGCATTATGATGAAATTTACACTTTTTATTAATTAATGATGAAAATATGAACTGTTGAATTACACATGCTTTAGGCAGCTCAACATTTGTTTCTGTTTTTAATTCTTTCAATAATGTGTACATTTTTGATATTTGACTTTATATTTTTTTCTAGACTAGAGATCAAGCTAAACATGAGTCAAAGGCACCAAAGCAAGTTATAATGCGTACGATGGGAATCCAGGTACGTCCTCTGACACCATCATCCTTACAAGCAGACGGAAAGAACATGAAAATGTTTACTTGTACAATTTGTGGGAAAAGTTATAGGAAAAATGCAAATTTGAGGGTCCACACGCGAATTCATACGGGGGAAAAACCGTTTGAATGCAAATACTGTGATAAACGTTTTTACCATTCTTCCCATCTCAGAGAGCACATTCGAAGGCACACAGGAGAGAAGCCATTTCAGTGTGCAATTTGCAATAAACGATTTACTATAAGAGGTGAGGTTTTTGAGACATTTGCTTTGGATAATATTTTCTATACTTTCTAAAACCCGATTTATGTGAATGATTTTTTTCAGGTGAACTGACAATGCATATGAAGTCTCACACGGGGGAGAAGCCGTATGCATGTACATGTTGTAATAGGCGATGTCTTACTGCAGCTGATCTTAAGCTACACATGCGCATTCATACAGGCGAGAAGCCATTTATGTGCAACACGTGTGGACGACATTTTGCTAGCACATACATTCTTAATGCTCACATTAAAACGCATACAGGCGAGCGGCCCTACAGTTGTCTCATTTGCAATAAAACATTCACGCAGTCTTCTCATCTGCAAGTTCACATGCGGAAACACACAGGTAACTGTTTTATTTTTGTTTTGCTTTTCGAGAAAAGGTTAGAAGTCAGGGATGACAAATTTTCAGGAATAGTAGGTGAATACGGATTTTTTGCACGTTTCCCTTATTAAAAATAAATAAAATTAACAATAAAAAATAATTATTATAGGTCTTAGACAAACTAGTTGTTGAAAGTATTGCCAGAAACAATAATTAGATTTTTTTTGTTTAGTATGAACTTATTAAATTAAAATAAGAAGTTGCATTACAAGAAAACTAGATCATCCCACATTCTAAACTGTTTGCAAACAGCAATCTAAGTTTTCATCTGCCTGCTTTTACTCCTGTTTCTGTGTTAAATATGTCTCTAACTAGCTCTTGATGTCTCAATGGGTTCCCTACGTTCCGATCTTATTTCTTACATCCATTGTATTTTTTTTCCTTAGAACATCACATTTCAAGCGCTTCTAAAGTTTTATTTTTTCGTCGTGCCTACCGTTCGCGAGCTCAGAAGTGATTTCTTTTTGTTAAAAGGAGTTCGACCCAGTTCTATTATTTGTTTTTGTTTCTACCAATTCTTCTTTTTGACTTATCTGAAGTCTCAGATACCGAAAATTTTAATAGTGTAAAGTATAGTATATTAAATAACCGCCCTTTATATATTCCATATAAATAAACGTAATTGATAAAATAAATAAGTATAAAAACAAATATGACTGCTTTCCTCTCATTATAATCCATTAATAAGCGTATTGTGTTTAAATTTTGTCAACGGTAAATGCCATTTCATGGGAATTTATTGGATTTTTTTGTTTCAGGTGAGAAGGTAAGTTGTAAAGTTTGTGACGCAAAATTTTCTTATTCGTCGCAACTGACGATTCACATGCGTGAACATACGGGTAAGCAGCCTTATAAGTGTACTTTGTGCGATAAAAATTGTAAATATGCGTCAGAATACGAGACGCATATGCGCAAACACACCGGTGAGAAATTTAGTTGCAATATTTGCGACAAGAAATTTATGACTGCATCGTACCTGCAGGAACACAATAGGACGCATACAGGTCAAAATCTGAGCACGTGTGGTATCTGTGATAGGTAAGTCCTAATAATCAATACTAAAAAGAAATAAATTAATAGGTCATGCGTTTGAAATAGAATAAGGAAAATAATACGTTTTTTAGAATGTTTCTTATGTTACTTTGGGATAAAAAAAATTGGAGAGTAAATAGGGAGTCTTACATTTTTGTATTACTTATTAATATAATAAAAAATAGTGGGATGATCCTACTATCTGTTGTAACTAAAATTCCATTAAAAAAAAAAGGAGGGGGTGCCAGTAACTGTAAAGAACATATTATGTGTAGCCAATAAACGTTATTTCACTGCATAAGTAATAAGAGTGATTCCTAAATATATTTTAGACAGTTTACAAGACCGACGTACCTGGAAAAGCACATGCGTACTCATACTGGTGAAAGACCATATGCGTGCGTTACGTGTGGTAAAAAGTTCACGCAGTCCTCATCTCTTAAAGTTCATATTCGGATTCATACCGGGGAAAAACCTTTCCAATGTCAGATTTGCGATCGACGGTTTACAACGTCTTCTGACCTGTCCTCGCACAGTAAAAAACATGACAAAAAGTACATTAGTTTGTAGACATTCCCCATCGGTTAAGGATGTATGGTACATATTTTTAAAACACCGATAAGTGGATGAAAATTTCCTGTTATTCTTTATACAACTCTTTTATTTCCGTATCTTGCTCCTACACTTTTTAAGCATTTTTGTCATTTTTCCCCGTTTAACGTTAATAATTTTAACAAGAAAATTTATCCAATTTTTTATTTTTGATTGTTTAATAAAATTAAATGTTTAAATTATTCAGCAGTGTCTAATGTAGAAGTTTGTATTGTTCCTAAAAAACACAAAAAAGTTTCTACTATTCAGTATGCATATGAAGTTATGAAGATTAAGATTTTTTACTAATTTGCCATACAACCTTAAGCGACACTACAGCTTTATTAATTAAATGTAGGTGGAGCTCTGTTTGAATTTTTGTAGTTAATTTTTTAGTTTAAAGAGCTTTAATAATGTCGATAGTCGCATAAAAATATTTATTGAGCTGCTTTAGATAGGTATAAAAATATTTTTACACTTTGAGAAAAATAATTGTTGTAGTCAGCAATGATTCTACAACGTGCGATTGTGAAAACTGACTGACAATNAATATTTCAACAAAAAGAATAAATTTACTGAATTAAAGGCAATATAAAAAAGTTTATTTCCTAATTCTTCACTTAAGGAGAACAAAAAGATCAGTGTTATAAATTCAGAATTGTTTAGAATAAAGGACTCTAAAATGATATTACATAGTCAATGTTTTTGTGATTTTAACATTTAAATTTTTTGTGAAGTGACCAAATAAAAATATAAAAGTAACTTTAAAAGGAAAACAAGACTGACATTTTTATTTAACAAATCTAGAAAATATATACCTGTGTTTATATGATTGAAAAGATAATTAAATTGCCGATTTTGAAAGGTAAAAATGACTGCCGTTTAATTGTTATTTGTTCAGTAAAATACAACTTTTAGAATTTCATTATATTCGTAAATGATGATGATAATAGATGTTTGTTGTATTGATAAATTGCTAACATGAAAATAACTATTTCTGTAAAACCTCTTTATATTTTTTACTTTGTTTATTCTCGTTTTGCAACAAAAAATATGTTGCCGTGTCGTGTATGTAGAATAAAAGTAAGGTAGTGGCACTTGGAAAATATGTAATTGTCATATTAAATACACTATTCCGAAAGGAAGTCGTTTATGTAGATAATTTTAATAAATAAATGTAAACTCTTTGGTTATTTTTCCTTCAGCAAATCCTTAACGTATTACCTTCTAATTATAACATTTTTGTCCTCGATGAGCAACTAATAAAATACCAAATTAAGGACCATTATGATTATGCACCATATAGGTACTTTTTTTTAATTATTAAAATTTAAAAAAAAAATGTTTGATTAAGGGAGTACGATATTAATATTATTTTTGAACATGAGTTCGTATCAGAATAACCAGTAATGCTCAATTTAACAAAAAAAAACAAAAGAATCAATACAACCGGATAATTTATTGATGAGAATAAAATATCTGATTTTATGACAGCAAGTTCAGTAAAATCTCCTAAAAACAATCAACAAACATCATGTTTTTTTACGCAAGGTACTTTGTAACTATTTACTCTTATCGTAACTTGATTTTTTTGATTCACATGCTTTGATACACGTTACAAATTTTTCTTGGCTTGAGAGCATTTTATTGTTAGGATGGTTATCGCTTATCAGTCTTTCTTCATCCTAATTAATGACTATTTCCATTAAGAATGTTCGATGATTTTGCACATTTGGCTCGTGAAATACATCTCTATACAATATACATACAGGCTGTTTCAGGAGGAACAGCAAATATTATGGGAACGTGTACTAGTGATCATTCTGAGTAAAAAGTTCAGATAAACTTGAGCCTGGAAACGCGTTCGTTTCAGAGATGCATGGTTTTAAATGTTAGACAAAAAATTAATATTTTTACATAATGTAGTTTTTTCCAGGGTGGCGGTCAAATAATTATACAACTATATGTTTTTTGTAACGTTTCGGCTATTAATTATATTTATGTAATAATTTTTTTTTCAGTCTGAAGATGGTTAAATAAACCGAAACGTTACAAAAACTATAGTTGTGTAATTATTTGACCGCTACCTTGGAAAAAACTACATAATTTAATAGTAACGGTCAGTAATCTAACTTAAATATTTTTATTCATCCTCCAGTATAATATTCTGACAGCACGAAAAGTACTTTTGGTGGGCATTATTATAACAACATGGTTTACGAGAAATTCCTAATATTCTTTCGTAACACAAATGAGATATCAAACCAAGAAAGACTCTAGAAAGACAAGGTTGTTTTAAAGATGCATATCTACCAATTTTGAAATCGTTTTTAGAAAAATTTGCTACTGTATATATATGTTGAGATAGTTATATTAAGAAAAATATTGCAGATTTAATTTATTTATTTGAAAATTAATAATTTTTATAGTATTTTATTTATTTCATAAGAAGTTATACAGCTTTTAAATTGATTCAAATTGTACTTCATTTAATGGAATTCATTGATAAATATGTTTTTGATTATCCACCAATATCACATATCTAAAAGTACATTTTTCTTATAGCCTTGAAACGAGATTCATATTTTCTGCACATTACAATAAATTGGTACACCCAAGAGTAATTATTACTCGCGGAAATGCATATTAAATATTTTTTTATATACCATAAATAAAATGATTAATAAACTAATATCAATTACTCTAAATAAATTTATCTTTAAAATCAACAACAGTCGCTTGAGTCTAACAGTCTTCTTAGAAATTTTTTGTTTTTTAAAAATTGCAATAATTGAATAATACATAGTTAAACTTCCTCAATTTGAATTTCCTAATAAATGCAATGTTTGAGGTATATTAAATTAGAGATAACGAAAATTTTGCTGTACCATCAAACTATTCGTTTCTACTTATATAGTCTATAAATTCCTTATTTCTAGACTCAAATAACAAAGAAACCTAAACAAATTTTAAAAAACTACATACCAATATTTACGTAAGCATGGGGGAGGGGGGAAAGCTTTGCTTACTTTTGCCGACAAGGGGAGAGGGCTTTAAAAATTACTAAAATTCTGCTTATTTAATACTTAAATGGTCTAAAACCGTCGAGTCAAGAAGTCTGAAATTTTGCACAACTCATCATCAACATCATCCACTATAAAATGAGTTTTCAAAATATCACCTTTAAAGGTATGATAAACATTTTCATATTTTTCCTACGAAATGTTGATTATGTTAAAAAGAATACAAAATAATGTTTACAATAAAATCAGTTATTTTTTTTATAATTCGGTAAAATTCTTTAAAATTATGATTTGGAAACTTAAAAAAAAATCATATATTCTAAAAACAGTAAATTTACCAAATAATAGGGCGTGTGGTAATTTTTCANATAAGCTTATATAAAATGAAACAAAAATATTAAAACATTTTCTTACCTCGTATCCCAATTTTCTCAAGAATAGTCTCAATAATGGCGGCTCATCGCCAAAAAACTTAGTTAATTTCTTTACTCTGGTTGGATTGGTGAGGTTTGGCAAATCTTTTGAATTGCTGCCTCCTCTTGGTGTCGATTGCGATCGTATATTGAGCATGTTAGTTTGTGCTCTGAGAGTCGCGATTTCACCCCGAATATTCTCCATCTCCTGGATCATGAGATGCTGTGTTCGCATTTCGGACGAAAGATGCGCCACAGATCTGGCCAGAGTAACAACATGGGATTCCAGACGTTGGAATCTTTTATTGATACCTAAAAAAAATATAAAATAATACTGCAGTTGTTCTTATACTGTTAAGATTTATCATTTAGCATTTTAATAATACCACTAATAAATAAGAGAATTTTTTGTTTGGGAAGTCTTATCCACATATAAGTAACGATAATTACTATTTTAATTAGGCATACTATTATTTGTTTGGATTCACTCTAAAGAGGCTAAATTGTAACAACATTTAGGCCTACTGATCCTATTACAATATTGGCCGTCTTTGTGTTATAATATAAATGATAAAAATAAAAAGTTTTCTGTATTTCACGCACAAATCTTCTCTTTCTATAACGTTTGTATTTATTTTTCTCATTTCATACCTCGTATATCTTTGACTTTTCTACGATCCTCATGTATTCTTCTTTTATCTCTGATGGGACGACTACTAACGGAACTGGAAGGAAGAGATGACATACTTCCGTATCTTCGTTTACTAAAGCGAGGATCGGATGGTTGGTATCGTCCCATTTGTCTTTTGACACCAAGAAGCTTTAAAACCTTAAAAAATGTGTAATCATGTAACTTTAGTTCCTCATATCCAAAAAGGTAATCAGAAAAAATGTTCATATTGTATGTAATATTTTGCTTAATCAGTGAATTTTGTATATATTTTCGTGTGCCTGCAGGAGATTTTATTCTACTAACTCACCTCAGAATACATGGACTCTAAACCTTCCAGCTGTTTTCGAATGGCTCTTGCATCTGTCGTACTAATATCTCCTTCAGAGTCAGTTTGATTGTCTAACATCGATTCTAGATCCAGAGAACGAGTTTCTGATGTACAGAGTGATGAGTTTATTTATCCTTTTTTTTTAATGATAATTTCTACTAATTTATAGTTTTATTAGATTGCAAGTGTTGAACCAGCTATAACAATTTTACTACATTTCAATGATTTCAGCTGTTTAACAAGGAAGAGGTTAATTTTTATAACCCCCCTCCCTGTAATTTCATTTCTTTAAAATGAATATAGAGAATACCTAACTTTTTAGTAGCAATTTTAAATTAAACTTGTTGTATATTATATTCAGTATGTAAGGTTAAAAAGTATTTGTAAAAAAGAGACCGATGTTATCCTCTCAGCTCTTTTTAATATTAAAAATATTCTTTCTAATAGAATAGGAAAACAGTGGGTGTTATGGAAGTCAGTAATGAAAAGAATATGATGATGATGATGGTGTCAGCTTATTTTTCAAGAAACCTTTAATTTGCTGTGGCAAAAAAATATATCAAATTCTTTATTTGAATATACGCAGTATGACAAAATAACAATTTAGAGTAACTAAACTATTACTGATTATGTATACAAAAAATCTGGCAGGTAAATAGTTACTTTACAGTCTTTGTTTACCTACATACATAGAAATATAACTACGAAATATTTATCATTGTTATAGTTACATTAAATTAATTTAATACTACAAACACAATCGTCGATGAAATAAGTACCTAAGAAAATAAAGCGTTGAGTTTTCTTTGGCTTATTGGCAATTTTATATGCTATCAACAATCGATGTTTGAACGTATTATTCTTTATAGATATCATAGAAAGTCTGTTAAATTGAATATCATTTTTCTATACTCTAAAAATGTTGCTTATTGAGTTTGTTGGAAAAGTAGAAAAAAGAAAGGCCAGAAAAATTGATTTAATTAATGGATACTGTGAGGCGTACGTTGGTTATAGATAAATACAAAAAGAAAATGTTTAAACGTTAAAAAAACTTGAAACCTAAATAAATAGAGAATAGGAAAAGTTATAGGAAAAATGCAAATTTGAGGGTCCACACGCGAATTCATACGGGGGAAAAACCGTTTGAATGCAAATACTGTGATAAACGTTTTTACCATTCTTCCCATCTCAGAGAGCACATTCGAAGGCACACAGGAGAGAAGCCATTTCAGTGTGCAATTTGCAATAAACGATTTACTATAAGAGGTGAGGTTTTTGAGACATTTGCTTTGGATAATATTTTCTATACTTTNTACATATATAATAATAAATAATAGCTGCTTAAAAACTAAATATCCGAGAATGAAATATGAGCCGCCATTTTGAAAATGTAAGATGTATGTATGTACAAGAAATGTGAAGAACTACCAGAAGTTACCTATACGATAGCTAAGGTGTTTTCTTTGCAAACGGAAATTTGGGCTTCCTGAAGAATTCTCAGTCTTGGTCCCAGAGGTACGCCCATTTTTTGTAGACGTTCTTCACTAAGGTACGGCAGTTCTACCATACCTACCCTTTCATTTTCAAAAACGTTTGCATATTTCTAAAATTAATTACAAAAAACGTATTGTAGAAAAATTAAGAAAATATCACAAATTGACGACTTTGAATGATCATAAGCTTATATAAAATGAAACAAAAATATTAAAACATTTTCTTACCTCGTATCCCAATTTTCTCAAGAATAGTCTCAATAATGGCGGCTCATCGCCAAAAAACTTAGTTAATTTCTTTACTCTGGTTGGATTGGTGAGGTTTGGCAAATCTTTTGAATTGCTGCCTCCTCTTGGTGTCGATTGCGATCGTATATTGAGCATGTTAGTTTGTGCTCTGAGAGTCGCGATTTCACCCCGAATATTCTCCATCTCCTGGATCATGAGATGCTGTGTTCGCATTTCGGACGAAAGATGCGCCACAGATCTGGCCAGAGTAACAACATGGGATTCCAGACGTTGGAATCTTTTATTGATACCTAAAAAAAATATAAAATAATACTGCAGTTGTTCTTATACTGTTAAGATTTATCATTTAGCATTTTAATAATACCACTAATAAATAAGAGAATTTTTTGTTTGGGAAGTCTTATCCACATATAAGTAACGATAATTACTATTTTAATTAGGCATACTATTATTTGTTTGGATTCACTCTAAAGAGGCTAAATTGTAACAACATTTAGGCCTACTGATCCTATTACAATATTGGCCGTCTTTGTGTTATAATATAAATGATAAAAATAAAAAGTTTTCTGTATTTCACGCACAAATCTTCTCTTTCTATAACGTTTGTATTTATTTTTCTCATTTCATACCTCGTATATCTTTGACTTTTCTACGATCCTCATGTATTCTTCTTTTATCTCTGATGGGACGACTACTAACGGAACTGGAAGGAAGAGATGACATACTTCCGTATCTTCGTTTACTAAAGCGAGGATCGGATGGTTGGTATCGTCCCATTTGTCTTTTGACACCAAGAAGCTTTAAAACCTTAAAAAATGTGTAATCATGTAACTTTAGTTCCTCATATCCAAAAAGGTAATCAGAAAAAATGTTCATATTGTATGTAATATTTTGCTTAATCAGTGAATTTTGTATATATTTTCGTGTGCCTGCAGGAGATTTTATTCTACTAACTCACCTCAGAATACATGGACTCTAAACCTTCCAGCTGTTTTCGAATGGCTCTTGCATCTGTCGTACTAATATCTCCTTCAGAGTCAGTTTGATTGTCTAACATCGATTCTAGATCCAGAGAACGAGTTGTGGTCGACGTCATATCGGCATTGTCCAATCCAAAAACTGAATAAACCGATATTTATAATTTAAATAAAAGATTTGACCGGCAATGTTATTCGAAAAGCACTTGTCATGATGTTAATGAATTTTAAAACGACGCCTACAGAAGAGAAATTACAAAAATGTGTATGATTATGTTAAGTAGAATTAGTTATTAATACATAACAGTTTTTTAGCTAGATTTCCGCTGATGCTTTCAAATAAGAGATGTAAAATAGTTGTGTAGGAGAGAATGTAATAAATAGTATGAAGGGGCCATTTCGATGTCAAAAAACCCACTGGTTTTTGATCATATTTCAGATCCAATTACACAAAATGGATCAAAATAATGCTCCCTTTAATGGAGACTGAAGTTAGTTCACTTATTTACGAAAACTCTATTTCAATCATTTGAAAAAGTGCAACAATTGCAGCAAAGAAGTGAATCTACCTACATAACGACTTATGACCAAGAACTAAAGCCAGTCAGTAAACTATAAGCGTTTATGTCATCAAAACATTCGATAAAATGAAAAAAATCAAGCCAAAAGTTCAACAATTGACATCTACATATTTTGGAAAACGATCAATTTTATTTATTCTGTCAATCACTGTATGTGTAAATATTTGGTAACAACTTACCTTGTTTTCCTTTCATGTAATTAATATGTTCTGGTTTTTTCGTTGTCCTATGTTTCTGAACATTATTTCCTTGCCACCTAGTTTGATTTCCTGGAGTAGTTGTTTTGGTCATTTTATTGTACATTTCGACACTATATTCCGGTTTACTTCCATATGGCAAACTTGAATAAATAATCAAAAATACATAGCATAATGTTGTTTGTTGGGGACAGAAAATAATTACGGAATATTGCTTTTCAATTTTCATTTTTTTATGCTAATAGTAACTAATTAGTAGCCTCTTAGAATTATATTTAGAAGAGTTCCAGCGTTTTAATTAAACTTTGTTGTACTATTTTGCATACATTTGATTTTTTAACAAGAGATTTGCAATATCCCTATCACGGTAGAAAGTTCCCGAACAGATAATTGATTTTTGAAACTCAACTAACCTGTGATGCTTTTTATATTTTGCGGAATTTCTGGGAGTTAAGCTGGGAGAAGATTGTTCGCCGGGCGATAGAGGCGGTAAGGGGGGCGACATCGAAGACATACTCTCGCTAAGCGTGGAATTAGCTATGAACACATTTCCATGCAGCGAAAGCTCGTGCAGCTTTGGTTCTAATATTGTACGGAGCTCATTTTCCACTACATCCACCCATTCCGAATCATCCCCTGAGGATGTTGAAATGAAGAATTAAATTTATTATAATACTTCGCTACTTAGAGACAAGAGAAATGCATTATGTTGCTGTTTAAATCCTTCGAATGAAATAAAATAGGTACCAATAAGAATAAATACCTGCATGTTTTTAATTTACACCATAAAAGTTTCACCTGCTTCTTGTTTTCGTAGTATGGGTAGTTACCCTCTTAAATAATGAACAAATAATTCATATGTATTATATAATTTGCCACATTTTGGTTTTAATGGTTGTTGCTTAGGTAGAACAACAGTTAAGAGTTCATATGTAAGTACGTAACTGATATCAAATATAAAAAAATGCTATTTTGAAAAAAATCAGTAGAATTTCCTTTATAAAAATTTGTAAAACAATAAATAAATAAATTTTTGTTGCGGTTTTTTAATTAAGAAAAGTAAAATTAAATAGGTTGTCTTACTTGAATTGTAGGAATCCTTGATGCCAGACGAAGATTCGTTGCACGTTTCGACCCTGTTGGGTCTTCTACCACTGCTATACGCCGCACTGCCTCTTCCCGAATCAACATTCGAAGAAGCTTGTCCAGATTTATCGTAATCCGAACTGGCAGCAGATTCCGCGTTTGTCTTTTTGCACTTATCATCTTTATCACTGAAATTTTTATCACTTTTCGAGGCAACATTATAAACGCCTTCTATTTTGCCAATTTCTCCTTCCAGCCGTTTCCTGGGAGCGCCAAGCAGTACTTCACACATCTTTGACGACTCATCCCTTTCTTTCTTCTGAATAATATTTCCATCTTGGGCGTCATTTGAATCATGCAAAATACTTTTTTTCACAGAAGGTTCTTCAACTTGACGCGACGAACCGGGTGGTAGTGGAAGGTTCGACTCAGCTATGTTTCCGTGGGAACCGTGACGAACCGGAAGTTGGCAGGTTGGGTTTCGAGTCCGTTCCACGTGCTCGGTCTTGGTATCATCCTCACAAGCCAGCTGGGGTTGAGAAGCAGCACGTCTTGCTTCAAACGTCCGCTGACGTAGATTATCACGTTCGATCTGCTGAGCGCTTCGTTTCTCCATTGGAGTTCGGATTGCCGTGTCCACACACCTGAGAATTTGCAAATATTACTTTTATAATTAGACCTAGGTTAATGAAGACAACACAATTGTTTACCATTTCAAAGAAAGAAAGAATATTCTTAAAAAATTACAAAAAAGGTGAATATTCAGATTCTTGTTTTTAGTACCGATAGAAAACTGCGAATATTTAGTGGATTTAAAACTTGAAATCCTTACTTGTTTCAATCCAAAATTTTATATTTTTCTAAGGAATTCTCTTGAAAATACTGAAATTTAATTTTCGATAAGATAGAGATTTAGTCAATTTCGTAAACAAGTAATGACAATTAATCCGGGGTGTCAGCATTGACTATTAGGAAATAGAATTAACTTATTACAAGAATGAATATTTTATATTTTGAAAAGCTACTATAAAACCGTCATTAGGAAAACGTTAAGGCCATTCAAAAGTAAAATTCGAAATTATTAGGTACATTTCGATGACTTGAGATTCGCGATAAATAAATTAAGCTTTAAGTATGTTGTAAAACAAATTGTGAAGTATTGGAATTAAATTATATCTACTTGCCTTTCGTTTATCACTTCGACTTGTTCACCGTATTGGGCGTTATGTATCATGACATAATGTTGATCACTGGACTGCGTTATTCCATATCGTGTTGCTGGTCTTTGGCTTGTAACAATATATGAACTCGGTGTGTACAACTGGTCTTGGATTTCCTGAGATTGTTGCTGTTGTTGCTGCTGTTGTTGTTGCTGCTGCTGTTGGTGCGAGTAATATTGGTGCTGCGAAACCTGTAAGGGAAAACGTATTGTTACGGTTCTGCAATTAACCGGTCATAAAAAATAATCAACGTGAGTTGAAATTGCTAAAAGATATCCGCCTACCATCAATCTACTCCTTGACATTAAAATGCATTTTTTTTAAATTCCTTAACTAATGATTCAGAAAGTTACAATGGAATAATTAATTCACTGTAGTATTAGAGTATAAGCAGCTGAATGATAAGAGGTATAAAAGTTGATTACATAATAAAAAACATAAGAATAAGTGATTAGAAAAAATACAGTTCAATATGGGTATGATTAGGGGTATAAAGCTCATACTTATTATTTTTTAATTTTTTTGGGGTAAGAACTATATTGAGACAACAAAGACTATATTTGACATTGGGGAAACCCATATGTACAGTTGCTGTGACCTATCGACATAATTGTTTTTAAAAAAATCAACTACTTACTGGATAAGCTTCATGGATAAAATAACTTGATAAGCAATACTTATAAACTTATCAAATTGTAAAATTTTATTGCAAACATTTTCACATTATCCTGACTTTAAAAAGGAAATCATAAATAACTGTGTAACTGGATGGTATTTCATCGAACAACTGAAATGTCCATAATTTTTTATAAACTACTAGCTGAGCCGGTCACGCGTTGCTGTGGCTAACGTTTTTGTCATATTACATTGTTGGAAACTATTTAAGGAGGACGGTAGGAGAACATCAGACATGGGCACCACCATGCTTTTTTACATAGATGCTATTTGTAAAAAAAAATGGCGACCTTCATGACTGATTTTCTACCGTTACCCCTTATTACAATGAAATTATTATTTACGAACGAAGATGGAAACGTTAAAGCTGGTATAAAAATTTACTGGTTTGGGATTAGAAGGGGACAAAATAAATTTAACCCATACTTTAGCCTCAGCAACATCTGGTGGTTATGCTATTAAAATTGTAGCTTATATGAAACGTTTGGAAGTTTGACATAGCGCCATCTATTGAATATTGCGATCATAAATTGAGATGTAAGCTATCCTATCTTTTATATAAATTAAGATAAGGACATAACGACTTAAAGAGAGCATATTGCATTTATCTCATTAAAAACATCAGTACTACAAACCTGACTTTGTGGCACTGCTTGTCTGGATTGTTGTTGGTGTTGCGTCATGATATGCTGATGGACCATTTGTTGATTGTAAGAATGTGGAATGCTCATTCCATCACCCCTCGATCTTCCATACATCGGTTGATCACCGGTGACCTTTTGAACCTGCTGTTGCCTTTCTTCGGTGTACTCTGAATTTTCCTGATTTCTGCATTTGCTTCTGGTATCATCCACTACAGAAGCATTATTTAAACCACTTTCTTGTTCATTCCTTTCGTCATTATCTTTGCCACTTTTAAATTTGCTCGATATCAAATCTTTAATTGTGTTGTATGTTTTTGTAACCGTTTTGTTATTGGACTTGTTTCCCGTTTCTTTTTGCAAATTATTTTTGCCGGGATCGTTAAGTCCGGCCACGGTTGTGCTTTCTTCCGACGGCCGAGAAACGGGAACTGGTCTCGAGATATCTCCTTGCCACTGGGCTCTTGAAAGTGCACCGGTACTTTGCAAATGATGACTATAATAGTCTTGGTGATACGACGCTCTGTACATGCTGCCGGCATCGCATACTTGCTGGATATTATTCTGAGATTGTTGCTGATGAGAGTACAACGAATGAGTCTGGAACAAAACAAAAAATAATGCTCTGAGCAAAGATACTCTGAATTAAAAATGTAGCATCGTGCTACAGATGGCGTTTACTGCGCCATTTGTAGTATTTTCTAATACTCTGAATTGTTTAATAGAAAAGTTAGTTCAGCAGATCGGAAAAGTGAGACAGAAATGTAAAATAAAAACGAGATCGCATGTTAAGTTTGTTAGAGTACCTACATCACTTTCAAATGCTTCTCTATTGAGTTTTAAAAATAGTGAATACTGTAATTGCTGTTCGTTAGTCTCGCTAAAACTCGAGAACGGATGGACCGATTTGGCTAATTTTGGTCTTGAATTATTTGTGGAAGTCCAAAGAAGGTTTAAAAGGTGAATAAATATGAAAGTTGTTAACTACCTTTCAGATTATTTTTATGTAGATTGATAAATCTTAAGTCTTGTCACAAATTAAATTTCTGAACGCAACCATAATATTTGACATTTGTCAACTAAGTTTATTTTATACAAAAATTTAGGTCTTTTATATATCGATTGGGGCAGTACGAAGTCTGCCGGGACAGCTAGTCTTAAATAAAATGTATATTATTAACCAGGTATTNGTCACAAATTAAATTTCTGAACAATGTTTTAAACAAAAGTTTAGGTCTTTTATTTATCGATTGAGGCAGTACGAAGTCTGCCAGGTTAGCTAGTGTTTAATATTTAATATATAAAGGATCATTATTTTCAATATCAAAACTTATTTTTGTGTAATTAAATAATAGAGATATAGAGATAAAAGAGTAAAGCGCAACTGGCAGTTATAGAACTTGAGCAGCAATGTAGAGAAGCAAAATTTAGGGAGTCAGACGAGGATGCTCACTGTCACCGATACCTTATAAGATGTAATAAATATCGTTAAAGACAGGACAAATTTAGGGATAGATATACAGGGACAAAAGGTCAGCCTGCTTAAATATGCAGATGATATAGCAGCATTAGCATCCATATAGCAAGCAGTTGCTGATAGCCTTAAATAATAGAAGTATTATTGATAAAAGACTATAGTATGAAAATAAATAAAAGTAAAACAAAAATACTGGTATGGAAGGGAAGAAAAAGTAGGGAAGGAGTAATATAGAGATAGGAAACGAAAAATTAAAAGAAGTAGCTGATTTGGAATTCAGATAACTCAGGATGGAAGGAGCAGTGAACAGAGGATAGCGCACGGTAGAGTCGTCTTTAACAAAAAGAAGTCACTTCTATGCTCGCAAATGGTTAATTTAGATTGTTAAACGTGGACGGTGGGCGCTGCGGAAAAGAAAAGGTTAGACGCGTTTGAAATGTGGTGTTTAAAGTAAATCATGAGGATACCGTGGATAGAGAAGGTTGGAAATGAGGAGGAAGTCAATAAAAATATAGGCGAAGTAGGTTGGTAGGACACCTTCTCAGGCATGAAGGTCTAGTCAAAAACATATTAGAGCCAGAAACAGGAGTTAGGCGGGATAGAGGTAGATCTAGATTAGATTACTGTTCGTAAATAGTTAAGGATGTAGGTTGTTCTGGTTTTGGGCAAATGCAAAGAATACATCAGAATAGGCTCAAAGACTGGAGGTGCGTGACCAACCAGTCTTAGGATTGACGACCTTATGATGATGACGGTTAAATAATAAATATTTAGTCTTGTATCATTATCTAATATTTTATCAATACCAGTATCACATGTGGTTGAATTCGATTGACTGTGTTACTTTATTTTTTCAAATTAAGAAGTGGTATTCCGTTGGTTGGTTGGGAATTAAACTAGGGTTGTTCGCTTGGTAGGCGAGAATTCTACAACTGAGTCACCTTTGCTTCTTGTAAAGTTCATCTTTCTTAAAATTTTTTTGAAGTGAAACTTCTTTACGCACGGTAGAGTAAGTTCGTTTCATGCGAGTTGCTGTGTAACGAAATTATGCAACGTATTTCCCCCGCTGTCTGTCCCTATTTATGCTTAGATCTTTAAAACTACGCAACGGATTTTAATGCGGGTTTTTTAATAGATAGAGTAATTCAAGAGGAAGGTTTATATGTATAATACATGCATAATATAATAGAGAAACACTGATAATTTTAAAGGTTTGTAATATGATGTAAATAAACACATTTTTTGCGCTTACATTACAAACGCTGGCTGAACCCTGCGAGATGGATCAAAATTATATACTACAGTATTGTACACCTTGAAAAGGTCTACAAAAAAGTCCGGGATGGTATATGTCTATCTCTTAGGGATAACCGACAATAACCATTTTTTATCCTTTACTTTTTACGAGAAAAAAGGGCTTATTTACGAAGCGATTTTAAAAAATACAGCATTAATCCTTATCCAATTAAGTACTTTTAAATACATTGTGCATTTAATATAGATCAATATGGCTCTTTACAGCATGTAATTTAGATGAACATTTTCGAAGATAATATTACAGACTTAAAATGCAGGGACATAGCGGTTGGGGCGGTACCGGCCGGTTTGTATTGTCTAATGTTTCACTTCAAAGTTTCACTTCATTAGCGTGTTGTATAATTAGACGTTCTATTTTTTTTTACTGGTAATAATTATAAATTAATTTTAATTAAATTTAACCAGTAACACATACGCATGCACATTACGCTTTTGATACATATCTGTGACATAGTATATCTTTCGAATGATGAAATTTTCATTTTTCGCCATTATAATCAATAGTAAAAAATGTAGCAGAAGTTTCAATGTTAGAAATGTAACGATTCGGCTTTTTGTACCTAATATTCGATCGAAGGGAATAGTTATCGAGACTTGATAATTCCTCTTTATTCGTGCACTCGAGATCTTGTAGGGAGATTCCCCCGTTGATGTTGTTGCGTATCGCTTCGCCGAAGATAAGTGTCAGACTTATTGTCTCTTATTCTTTGAGAAATTGTGGATTTTAATAACATTATTGAAAACCCTAATAAGTATTCGGTCTTATTAAATACATAAATTAATTAAAAAAAAAATCGAAAGAGTTGAAGAATTATGCTGGGCTATGGAAGTCTATTGAGAAAGGAGAGATAGGACCACACATTCTGAGACATAAGGGTTTTGTTAGAGACATATTAGAAGTAGGAGAAGTACTTAAGAAGGGCAGAAATAGATCTAAACTTTTTGTAAATGGTTAGGTTTAATTTTAGGGAAATGCGAAGATTGGCTCAAGGTAGGAAAGAGTGGCGGTGCGTATCCTGAGACAGTTTTTGGATTGACGACTGTGTGATGATGAATATTTTATAAAAACTTTTCGGTACATCATCTTCGAGGGGTTGGTTTACAGCCCGCTGGATTATTAGGGAGTTCGCCTGCGGGTGAGGGTGTTACTGATTTCTTTTTCATGTAATTTGACTTGGGCTAGGAAGAAACGTCATGACGCCCTTGCTCATCTCTAGCAAATACGTAGAAAAGGAGAAGTAATAATTCAAAAAAAATTATTGGGTATTCTTCTGAAGGATTTCTTCTTTTTAGTAGTTAAGGTATGGTTTGATATGTTAAAAGTTGATTTATGATATGCACTTTCCATGCTATTAATAAAAGTTTATTTGAAAGTCTCGTAGGTATATATAGATAATTAGCGGAAGACAATGTCTACAAAAACTTCTACCAAGAACAGTAGGTACCTTTAAATTTCTTGTGAAAGACAGAACACAGACCGACATTCGTATTGAAAACCACATTGCATTCATTCGTGAACAGCTTTCATTGACGACAGGTGTTAACGATTTCCAAAAATACAAGCGGTTATTAAGCGTATTGAATAATAATAACCTCTCGACACGTTTATACTCGTAATGTTAACATTATAAATGTTGTTGGCACATTCTCTTTTATTAATATACATGCTTGTAGGATTTATACTATCCAGAACATGGTAAACACGAAATATTCGACGTTGTCTTTTTAGAAATGAAAAGCAAAAAAAAACGATATTTCAAACAATTTGAGGAAGGTTATTAGGCTTCGAGAGGTTTGCGTAGATTGTTTATCAATGAGGAAGTTTGCAATTATATTGGAGGCAAAAACGTTTGATTATAGTAACAACATCGACATTTTGCCCATTAGTATAAGTCCTATCTAAGGTAAGTAATTTGCAAGCTACCTAAGAAAGGCCTTATACCAAAATGGAAAATGTTGGTGTTGTTGCTATAATAAAGTTGTGTTTGACAACTATTGTGGCTTTGATTTCTACAATAAAAATAAATTATTTTTTCCAGATTACTGACTAATTACCGGTAAATTTAGAATTTAGAAATTCGAGAAAGGTGTTTGGAGCACGGCACCGTACGGATGCGAAACACAGACGGTGGGCGCGGCGGAACGGAAAAGAGAAGCGTTCGAAATGTGGTGTTACAGGCGAATGATGAGGAAACCGTGGATAGAAAAAGTTATAAATGAAGAGGTATTAGAAAGTAGGTTGGTAGGACACCTTAAAGGGCATGAAGTTCTAGTCAGAGACATATTAGAGACAGAAACAGGAGACTAGATTAGATTACTGTTCGCAAATAGTTAAGGATATGGGTTGTTCTGGTTTTGGGGAAATGCGTTGATTAG